CTTCGTTTGTCGATGTGGTAGAATTAGAAATTCAGATAAAATCAAACCCTCTATCTTCAGCTTCATCACATTCTGCGGAAGGCAACATATCTTTTCATTGTGATGAAGAAGCTCCCACCATCCTTTGAAGGGATTCTTTGCTACTCGAAATAAGATTAGCTAGCGGTCCATCCACTGTTGGATGAGGTATCAGTGGACATTTTAACATTTGAAGTCTGGTACCTTGTGATGTCTATATCTCCCTTGCTACTTTGATGAACCAGGTCATTGGTGAGCTCTTTTTCAGAATTTTAATGTTGATGAATTAAGGTGTTCCTTAAATGTATGAAAAGAGCTTGACATGGGTTTTGTAATGCCTCTCATTTTCCACTATAAAGTGACCCGCAACCTGATTAACTAAAATTTTCAAACCCGCAACCCGATTGAGTTATTGCAATTTAGGGCTGCAAATGAGTCAAGTCGTTCACGAACAGCTCGACGCTCGGCTTGAGAAAAGCTCGTTCGATACTCGGCTCGTTACCTAATGAGCTCGCTCGTTAGCTCGCTCATTTACTAATGAGCCGAGCTTGAGCTAGGTCTAGCTCAACTTGTTAAGCTCGCAAGCTAGATCGATTTGAAGACTCGTTGAGCCCGACTCGCAAACTAGCTAGATTTGTAGCTAGTTTGCGAGATACGACAATAAAGGATACGACAATAAAGAAAGTTATGGTTTTCATTGAAGCAACATGATCCATTAGTCATTCATGAGGACCGACCAATTATTGTTATTTGTTCATCATTCTTGATGAACCCATTCTCTATGCAAAATACGAAATTGGCAAATATACATTGCAAACACCATTAACTCTTAAAATCATGTCAATAGTGGGGATTCCTTTAACCTTCTAGGTATTGTTTATCAACAATAAACCCCATTATAATTTATCATGTTAGGTCATTCAAATAGAAAGAAATCACCTTATAGAATGAAACATGAAATTCTTTTAATGGATTAATTTCTTTTTTCCCTGCAAAATAGAATGGTCGTCAATTGAAAACAATATATTAGCATAGAGGAACTCATCAACTACTTAGCAATAAGGACAACACACTCACTTACCTCGCATCAACAGCAGAAGACAACAAACTCACTTGCCTAGCATTAACATCAAAAGACAACAGGTTGGAAACATTATATTAACCTAAGCACCTCTCTGCCATATACTGCTTGACCTTGCATCCCACTCCTTGCATACTCGAGCTGATCATTTTAGTTTCAAACTCGAGCTGAGCTAGATCACAACTCGGTTCAGCTTGGCTCGTTTGTAGTCCTAATTCAATCGTATGACTTATCATACCAAGTTTAACCCTCGATTTGAAATAAAGTTTACCTCAAACACAACTTAAATGTGCCAAATTTTACTTAGTGTTATAAAATAATGATCATGTAGTGTTGAAGTTAATGTAGAATTATTGAAAACAAGTAGATAAATTAAGTAAAATTTTCTAAAACAAATGATTGTTGTAACTTGTAACTAATGGTTAATTTAGTTATTAGACCGTAAACAATTCCATATATATATTAGCCTTCAAAGCATATAAGAAAATTTTAATTAGTCATTCCCTCCATATAAAAATTAAAGATTCATATTTCAATGGCGAAAATTTCAAAAAAACAAAAATTTGAAAACACTAAATTTGTTTCCTTCTTTATTTTCACAAAATGAAAATTAAATTAATATACTAAATTTCTCCTCCTTCTTTCTTCTTCTTCCATAAATTAGAAACACTCAATTTTTCCTCCTCTTTCTCTTCCATAAAATGGAAGAACCAAATTTCAATCTTCCTTACTTCCTTTCACAAAAGTTGAAAACTCAAAATTTTCCTCTTTATTTCTCTTTCATAATAAAAAAAACGTAACTTTCCAACTTCTTTCTCTTCCCACAAATCAAAACCACCAAAATTTTCTTTTGTCAAAATTGAAAGAACCAAATTTCCTCTTCTTTCTCTTCCCAAAAAGTTGAATGCATCAAATTTTTTTTTAAAGCTACCAAATACATTACATTACTTATTATATTTAATTGATAACTTTATTGGATAGTTAAATTAACAATAATTTTCATTAGTATATTATATTAAAATTGTCCATGATCTCAATTATTAATTTTTTATTATTAACATTGACATTGTGCTGATTTTATATTATTTTTTTTAATTTTTTTAAAGAATTTAGTGTTCAAGTGACCTTCATGTTTAAAATACATAATATCAAGTGAGTTTCATATTTTTTTTAAATTCCCTATACGAAATGAAAAAATAATTTTACTTAATTATAAAATCAAAAACTTTATTTGAAAAACCATGTATTATATAATATAATGATTATTCAAGTGGATTAGATGAAGTTCGGGTTGGATCGGTCGGGTTACATGTTAGTCGGGTTTGGGTCAATCGGGTTCAGGTTGATCGGGTTGCTGGTTTAATCAGGCTGCGAGCCAATCTGGTTTGGGTTAATCAGGTTGCGGGTAAGTCAGGTTGCGGGTTAGTCGGGTTGCGGGTCAATCGGGTTGTGGGTCGGGCGGGTTTCAGGTTGTTAACTTTTAGTCAATTCGGGTTGCGGTCGGGTTGATCGGGCGGGTTAGTCGGGTCGGGTTCTATTTTGACACCTATAGCCCGCACGGGTACGGGACGAGGCATGTCAACCCACTCTTACATGTTATTTGAAAAAAAATACACGCAAAATTTTACATTTTATGATAATACGAAGGGAAAACACTTCATGAATGAAAAATAGTGCTAATAGAATAAGTAAATCTAACTAGTTGAAAGATCGAATCTAACTAGTTGAAAAAATGTCAAAATATGAGAAATATGAATAAATATTGTAAGAAATTAGATAGAATGAACGAAAGAATGGGACGGAGAGAGAGGCAAGACAGCTTAGAAGTAGATACATGTGTGCTACTACAGGTAGGATAATACCCGCCCGTCGCCGATCAGATCAATTAATAGCCGACGAGACGATCAAATTTTCATCGCTACTTGTCTATCAGTCTATGCATGCCATTCATTTGGGTTTCCTTTTCTTACTTTTCTAGACATATCCAACAACATTTATAACTACTATTGTAAGCTAGAATGATACAAGCCTCAATTTGAAATATAGTGAAATATTCACGAAATATTAGTCCGTATTTATCCCCGAAAATTCTCCTATACATGCAAGACAACACAAGTTTTATCAAATATCTCCCACCAAGCATTCAATGTTAGTTATAATTAACTGATTTTGCATTTATCTACTTCGTTTCAACAACTCTATATCTATTGATTTAAGTTGTTTGATGAGTAAAGTTTATATTATTATCCTAAACATTACCGACTAACCCACTTAAAGTGTTATAATATGAAAATGTCACATATTCCATTCCATCACACAATTAACCAATCTTAATGGTTTTAATATCATATCTAGAATCAATTTCATTTTAATAACTCTATAATACTATGCATAAAGTATGAAGTATCTACTCACTCAAGTGACCAAAATTTAAGTAATTTTTTCTAGTGACTAAACATAAAACGATTTAGTAATCCCAATAACCAAATGTGGCATTTACACGAAATTATCTCTTGCTAGTTGCTACTAACGTATCCATCCCCCTTCCTTCTCTTTCTCCATGCTGCTTCTATCCTGGACTCCACCTTCTGCCAACATTGAAGCCCATGGGCTCTAACTAACAAAAGTACAAAGGCGGGCTGATGGAATATGGCATTGGGCCTTGGTTGTTTTGTCCGTGTGAATAAATGGGTTTTAGGCAGTGACAGGTCCGGGCGGGTTTCTTGGTACTCAGACCAGCTCCATGACAGGTCGGGTTCAGATTGGGTAATTGATCACGGTTCGCGGGTCGGGTAGGTCGACCCAATGGGCATGCAATTTATATGAAAAACATTAGAAATATTCGTTATTTTTATTATAAGACTAAGAAAACAAACAATATTATGACAATTTGTAGTTAAATTGTTGGAGAAATTGAGGTTTTCACTAATTTACAACTTTATTATAGCTAAAATATGATCTAATAAAAGGATAATTCTAAATAATTTGACTAAGATTACATGTAATTTAGACAAGAACGGGTCGAGAATAGGGCGGGCCAGGGCAGGTCGGATCGATGAGACTACCCATGCCCGCCCCGCCCCGTCCAAAACAGGTCAAACAATTCGGATAAAACGGGTCAGGTCGAAATTGCCATCTGGAGATCAGAGATATGTCACAAAATGTAGGAGATGCCTGTCACTTTTATTAAGCGGGCCTGCAATGCCTCGACCCACCTGATGGCCCAAACAATGTGTAACTGGGATTCTCAGCAAGTCAGGTAGGCAGGCCTGCAGTTTTTTTTTATTGTCTCAAGTCTCCATTATCTTTGGATCGTAACTTTTCACAAGCCCAATAAGAGCATCCAGATCTTTTCGTAATTTTTTTTTTCATTAACAGCATAGGGTCCCTTTTAAATGAGAATGGGGAGAAGGGAAAGACAGATTGACAGTGGAATTGTCAAGAAAGGTGAGTACTTTTAGACAGAGAAAGTGCGTTTTTATTTAAAGGGAGAGTGGGAGGAAGTGGACAAAGAGTTTTTCTCTCTCTTTTTTTGGGGGATTGTTGGAAATGTGTATGAATAGCTTTGAAAGCTATAGAGTCTCAAGTGGAAAAACTACCACATTGGTAGTTTTACTTGGTGAAGTGATTATAAAGATAGGAGCCTCTCTCCTAAGGGCATGCCCCTTGGGGTGACCCACTTTTGTGGGAGAGGGAGGACCTAACGGACCACCACACACGCGCGCGCCGTCCGACCGGCCGGTTGGTTGGTTGGTTGGTTGGATGGATCACTTGAGACTATATACATATTTTTTGGAGAAATTCCGAACGAAATTAATTATTTAATAATTAATTATTAATCGGTTACTCTGAGGAATATTCCAAGGGATAATCGATTGAAAAGGAATATTCGAAGGATAATCTCCGCAGGATTTATCCTAACCGACGGTTTTAATTAAGGAAGTAATTATCTTCCTTAATTAATCCGACTTATTCCCCAAGCAAGAGGGTATATTCCTAGGGGTTCGGCTCCTATAAATAGCCGCCTCCCCAGCCCCTCTAAACACACAACAACGAGCATAAACACAATAGAGAGAGTGTTCAGAGAGCTCCGGTTTTCGCACAAAACCGCGAGTACACAGAGGAGCTGTTTTATCCTGGAGACGACCGGTTGATAGTCTGCCGTGCGCATCGAGGGCAGTGCCGCGAACGTCTTAAAGAAAGCGACCTAGTCCGCGACTCAGCTCCAGATTCGGTATCCTCATCTTGTTGTTGTTCCGTTTCTAACAATTTTAAGACGTTCGGCTGCTGCTATGTCGACTGAACAGAACAACATGGCCGGATCTGGTGCTGTCGATATCAATCGACCGTTTCGCTTCATTGGAGTCAACTTTCGTCGCTGGAAACAAAAGATGGAGTTTTACCTGACGACCAAGAAGTTGGCACACTGCCTCACTAGCATACCCGTCGAGCTGCCGGAAGAAGCGACCGATGAGGAGAGGACTGCTGCTGCTAAGGAAAGGGAGCATGACTTCCTATGCAAGGGCTACATCCTCAACGGCCTGGCAGACGACCTCTACGACTACTATGCGGACAGCAAGAACACCGCAATGATGGTCTGGGATGCGCTCCAAAAGAAGTACGACACGGAGGAGGCTGGAGCTAAGAAGTATGCTGTCAGCCGCTACCTGCGCTATCAGATGGTGGATGACAAGTCTGTCGAAGTTCAGTCCCACGAACTTCAGAAAATAGCTCACGAGATCGTCTCTGAAGGTATGCCTCTGGACGATCAATTTCAAGTTGCTTGCATTATTGATAAGCTGCCCCCTTCGTGGAAAGATTTTAAGAATATGCTTAGACATAAAACCAAAGAATTTTCACTGGAAAGTTTGATTACTCGCCTAAGGATTGAGGAAGAGTCCCGCAAGCAGGATATGAAAGAAGAGGTGATGGTCGTCACTGCTAAACGACCCACCCCTAGAGCTCTTAAACCTAACCAGAAAGGGTTTAAGGGTAAGAACCAGCAGGTCCGCCCCCACCAGAATGGTGCCTCTCGAGGTAACCAAAGGGTCATGGCCCAAACCTCTAAGAATGACCCACCGTTTATCTGCTTTAACTGCGGAAAACCGGGTCATATGGCAAAAAAGTGCAGGAACAAGCATAACCCCGCCGCTGCGGCCAGGGTTAACTTGACAGAAGAGGATTTGGTAGCCATGATCACAGATATGATTGCTGAAGTTAACCTCACCGGTGACTCAGAAGGATGGTGGCTGGATACAGGTGCATCGAAGCATGTATGCAACAATCGTGCTATGTTTAAAACATACGAAGAAGCACCTGCTGACAAGAAAGTGTTGTTGGGGACTACTCACACCACTATGGTTGCTGGTTCTGGTGAAGTGGAGCTGAACTTCACCTCTGGGAAGAAGATGGTGCTTAAGGATGTGTTGCACACTCCAGAGATAAGGAAGAATCTTGTTTCGGGATATCTTCTTAATAAGGCTGGGTTTAATCAATCTATTGGGGCAGACTTGTATACCCTTACTAAGAATGGGAGTTTTGTGGGAAAGGGATATGCATGTAATGGGATGTTCAAATTGAATGTCGAAATTAATAAGATGAATTCTTCAGTTTACATGGTGTGTGATTTGAATGTTTGGCATGCTCGTCTTTGTCATGTGAACACACGAATTGTGAAGAATTTAAGCAAGCTAGGGCATATCCCTAAACTCTCAATGAATGAATTTGATAAATGCGATTTCTGTAGCCAAGCTAAAATAACGAAAACGCCCCATAAATCTGTGAGTAGAGAATCAGAACCCTTAGATCTGATTCATTCTGATATTTGTGAACTAGATGGGACGTTAACTAGGTCTGGCAAGAGATACTTTATCACTTTCATAGATGATTGCTCTGATTATTGCTTTGTTTATTTGATGAAAAACAAAAGTGAAGCCCTTGACATGTTCAAGGTATTTGTGGTTGAATTCGAAAATCAGTGCAATCGAAAGATAAAAAGACTTAGGAGCGATAGAGGATCAGAGTATGACTCTAATCCCTTCAAGGAATTCTATAGCTCACATGGTATCATTCATGAAACCACGGCACCATATTCACCAGAGATGAATGGTAAAGCTGAGCGGAAAAATAGGACATTTACAGAATTAGTTGTGGCTATTATGCTCAATTCTGGAGCTGCTTCTTCTTGGTGGGGTGATATTTTGTTGACGGTTTGCTATGTGCTAAATCGTCTTCCAAAAACAAATAGAAAAGAATCACCCTATGAGATCTTGAAGAATAAGCCACCTAATCTGTCCTATTTAAGAACGTGGGGCTGTTTGGCCTACGTAAGAATTCCTGATCCTAAGAGGGTTAAGTTGGCTAGTCGAGCATATGAATGTGTCTTCGTTGGCTATGCGGCCAATAGTAAGGCATATAGATTCTATGATTTGAATGCTCGTACAGTAATAGAATCCATTGATGCTGATTTCTTTGAGACACGATTTCCATTTAAAACGAGAAATAGTGGGGGTAATGTACTACCCGCTATTAGAGATAACGGAACAAGTGGGGGTGTTGGATCTGAGGATGAACTCAGAAGAAGTAAAAGAGCTAGAATCTCTAAAGATTTTGGTGATGACTTTACTACAGTATACACCCTAGAGGATCCAAAAAGTTTGCAGGAAGCACTAACTTCCATAGATGCAGACTTTTGGAATGAGGCCGTTATAGATGAAATGGAATCGTTAGAGGCTAATAAGACTTGGCATCTAACAGACTTACCTCCTGGCTGCAAAGTCTTAGGTAATAAATGGGTTCTAAAAACGAAACGGAAACCTGATGGTGCAATCGAAAGGTTCCGAGCTCGCCTAGTAGTCAAGGGCTACAGGCAGAGAGAGAATATAGATTTCTTCGACACCTATTCACCAGTATCTAGAATAACATCCATTCGTGTCATGATTGCTCTTGCTGCCTTGAACAATCTCGTGGTACACCAAATGGATGTTAAGACTGCTTTTTTGAACGGTGATCTAGATGAAGAAATCTATATGGAACAACCAGAAGGGTTTGTTATCCCTGAACATGCCTCGAAAGTCTGTAAGTTGGACAAATCACTATATGGTTTGAAACAGGCTCCAAAACAGTGGCATGAGAAGTTTGACACTCTCGTTCTCTCACATGGCTTTAAGGTGAATGAAAGTGACAAGTGTATTTACTGCAAGACAGAGAATAGCACTTGCACTATCATATGTTTGTATGTAGATGACATGTTGATATTTGGTACAAATATTCACGTGGTCAATGAAGCGAAAGCCATGTTAAAAGAGAGCTTTGAGGTGAAAGATCTGGGAGAAGCAAAGTTTATGCTTGGAATCCAGATAACTAGAACAGCAAATGGTTATTCTCTAGATCAATCTAGTTACATAGAGAAGATCTTGAAGAAGTATAACTATTTCGACTGTAAACCTGCGTGTACTCCGCATGATGCTAGTGTAAAGCTATTCAAGAACACTGGAGACAGTGTAAGACAAACAGAATATGCTAGCATCATTGGCAGTCTCCGTTATGCTGCGGATTACACTCGACCAGACATTGCATATGTCGTGGGATTGCTTGGCAGGTTTAACAGCTGTCCTAGTAGAGAGCATTGGAATGCTATAGAGAGGGTCATGAGATACCTCAAGAGAACAGCAAACCTTGGTATACACTATCAAAGGTTTCCCGCTGTACTAGAAGGGTATAGTGATGCGGATTGGAATACCCTATCAGATGACTCCAAGGCAACCAGCGGATATGTTTTTAACATCGCTGGTGGAGCTGTGTCTTGGAAGTCAAAGAAACAAACAATCCTAGCTCAATCAACTATGGAATCAGAGATGATAGCACTAGCAACGGCTAGTGAAGAAGCAAGTTGGTTGAGAGGATTGTTGTCAGAGATTCCCCTATGGGAAAGCCCGGTCCCTCCGGTATTGATACATTGTGATAGTACCGCAGCTATCGCTAAAGTTGAGAACCGGTTCTATAACGGAAAGAAACGACAGATTCGTCGTAAGCACAGTACTGTTAGAGAACTCCTAACGATAGGAGCAGTGAGGGTGGATCATATAAGATCCGAACAGAATCTAGCTGATCCTTTGACGAAAGGATTACCTAGAGAGAAAGTCCAGAATACCGCCAAGGGTATGGGACTTATGCCTACCGAACCACGGACTACAAGTGATGGTAACCCGACCCAATAGACTGGAGATCCCAAGAAATGGGTTCAATGGGTAATAACAAGTCATGAGTAGTATGCGAAAAGTTCATGCATAATGAAGCATGAATCCCAAAGCAATGGAGGTTGAGTTAATAACTCTTAATGAGATCTATACCCTATGTGGGGTGGAGTACTTTACTTTGGGGGTACTCCTGATAGACTCACCTATGTGAATGTGGGAGTGGGGCCGCTCCCTATGGAACTTTGAGAGGCACAAAGTTGCTAGAGCGTTCACTAAACCAGGGTAACGTGCAAGGCCATAAACGCACGGGCTAAGAAGAGAACACAACTCAATGAAAAGATCCGGTGTGCTACACTGTCTGAGATAGGGTTCAAGACTACGAGTCACCCTTATGAAATCGGAAGTGTAACCACTACGCTAAGGTTCAAATCTTCGCGATACCTTAGCTTATGCCCGATCTTATGGAACTGTTGATGCTCAGAGATAGTTACAAAACTATTCAAGTGGGGGATTGTTGGAAATGTGTATGAATAGCTTTGAAAGCTATAGAGTCTCAAGTGGAAAAACTACCACATTGGTAGTTTTACTTGGTGAAGTGATTATAAAGATAGGAGCCTCTCTCCTAAGGGCATGCCCCTTGGGGTGACCCACTTTTGTGGGAGAGGGAGGACCTAACGGACCACCACACACGCGCGCGCCGTCCGACCGGCCGGTTGGTTGGTTGGTTGGATGGATCACTTGAGACTATATACATATTTTTTGGAGAAATTCCGAACGAAATTAATTATTTAATAATTAATTATTAATCGGTTACTCTGAGGAATATTCCAAGGGATAATCGATTGAAAAGGAATATTCGAAGGATAATCTCCGCAGGATTTATCCTAACCGACGGTTTTAATTAAGGAAGTAATTATCTTCCTTAATTAATCCGACTTATTCCCCAAGCAAGAGGGTATATTCCTAGGGGTTCGGCTCCTATAAATAGCCGCCTCCCCAGCCCCTCTAAACACACAACAACGAGCATAAACACAATAGAGAGAGTGTTCAGAGAGCTCCGGTTTTCGCACAAAACCGCGAGTACACAGAGGAGCTGTTTTATCCTGGAGACGACCGGTTGATAGTCTGCCGTGCGCATCGAGGGCAGTGCCGCGAACGTCTTAAAGAAAGCGACCTAGTCCGCGACTCAGCTCCAGATTCGGTATCCTCATCTTGTTGTTGTTCCGTTTCTAACAGGGAAAGCAGCCATCCCATCACCAAATTGTCCTTGTTCTGAGGCAGTGTGTGCGTAGGATATGTAGAAGAAGAGAAGAGAGCTGTGACTGTGAGGCGCTCCACAAATCTCTCACTTCTTCTCTCTCTCTCTCCATTTCTCTTGTCATCTCTAATATCATTGCACATGCTTAAGTTAGTTAGTAGTGTGGTCATGCCTGCTTCAGCTTAAAAGTTGCAGCTGCTAGCTGCTCTGTCTCCAAGGGTGCGCAGGATAAGGAAGTAGCGAGGAGGAAAAATCTCGCACTCACTTAACTGAGCTGAGCTGAGCTACTTTCTTCCTTGTGAAATTATGGGTTTTAGCAGAAGATTGCTTCTTTCGATTTTGAGCATACTGGGTTTGCTCTCTATTGCCTCTGGGGCTCGCCTCTACTCTTCCTCGGTTTCAAAACAGAAGCTGGACGTCCAGAAGCACTTGAATCGATTGAACAAGCCATCTACCAAGTCCATTCAGGTCCCTTCTTCTTACCCCTTTTCTCTTCCCAATACTAAATTACTAATGCTGCTTTGCTTGTTTGGCTTCTGAGAAAGTGTGGGTAGATGTGCCTGCTTCGTATTTTCGTGGCATTACTGATTTGATTTTCTTGCCGTTTCCTGTATTTTCCCAGCGATGAATACAAATGGCTGTCTTCAAGTTTACTTCTTTTTTCCCCACCTTCTCCCTTTCCTTTCCTTTCCTTCTTCTGCTTTTCTTTCTAGTGAGCATCATATGCCAACTTTTCCTTCCTGGAAATTCTCGCTTCTTTTTTCATTTTGCGAGTCAACAATGATGCTAAGATTATTAGACTCCTCTTTACTCTCTTTCTTTCTTTCTTTCTTTCTTTCTCTCTCAGACTCTCACTATATGATGATTTCATTTTCGGGGGATTTATTGAGCAATAAATAACACAAGAAACTGAATATATGATGTGGAATCCTCAGTGCACATCTTTATTATATTCCCTCTTCTTTCCCCTCTATGATTATTGAAAACTAACTATTCAATCCTTTCCAAGGACTAAGAGAAGGTGTCTGGTGTCTGAAAATTTTCTTTTATTGGGTAACTTATAGCATTGAGAAGGGTCATGTTAAGCTCATTTGTGTTTTGTTTCTTTTGATTACGGCAGAGCCCGGATGGAGATATCATTGACTGTGTTCCCATGTCCAGCCAGCCAGCTTTTGACCATCCTTACCTCAAAGACCACAAAATTCAGGTCTGTAATAGCTATTCTTGTTGTTCCATTAAAGCTTTGTGCTTTGTGCTTTTGATTTTCTTTTTCTTTGTCTGACGTGGGAGGGTTTGTACAGATGAGGCCTAGTTTCCACCCTGAAGGACTGTTTGATGACAACAAAGTGGCTGCTGCTGCAGCAGAATCTAAAGTGAGAGCAAATCTTATCAAGCAGTTGTGGCATGCCAATGGTAAATGCCCTGAAGGAACCATTCCAATCAGAAGAACAAAGCAGGAAGATGTTGTGAGAGCTAGCTCTGTGAAAAGATATGGTAAGAAGAAGCATAGAAGCATTCCAAAGCCCAAGTCAGCTGAACCTGATCTCATTAACCAGAGTGGCCACCAAGTAAAGTCTCTCTTCATTTCCTCATCAGTGGAAAGATTCTACTTGGAGTCTTATACTCTTCCTAATTGTTTGCTCTTCCTTTTTTTTCATTAGCATGCGATAGCATATGTCCAAGGAGATAGGTATTATGGAGCAAAGGCCACCGTTAACGTTTGGGAACCAAAGATCCAACAACCCAATGAGTTCAGCCTGTCTCAGTTATGGATATTGGGAGGATCCTTTGGTGAGGATCTCAACAGTATTGAAGCTGGTTGGCAGGTATATAGCATATTTTTAATAATCAATCCTGTCCTTTCTTTCATGTGATCAACACAGAATTATTGAACCCATGATAATGAATTAACAAAGACGGTTGATTCCTTGTCATCTTCTGTGGATAATATATTATAATCCCATCATCTCATGTTTTTGAATGATAAAACAGGTCAGTCCAGATCTGTATGGTGACAACAACACAAGGCTCTTCACCTACTGGACAGTAAGCTTCATGAACTCATTTCTTTCTAATGAACCTCTGAGATTGCTCGTTGACTCAGACAGAAATCTAAACTATGCATCTACAGAGCGATGCCTATCAAGCAACTGGGTGCTACAATCTGCTATGCTCAGGCTTTATCCAGATCAACAGTGAGATAGCAATGGGTGCAAGCATCTCTCCTGTTTCTGGCTACCGCAATTCACAATATGACATCAGTATCCTTATCTGGAAGGTAAATCTAACAATCACAAGCCTATGACCATTGTCCTCTCATTCATATGCAGTTTCCATTATGAAAAAGCTGGCATCTTCTGTTGATCTTTTTGGTAAAGATATCTAGTGTAGACGCAGGCAAAGGATAGCACAATGAGTGTAGACTGTGTAGTCACTTGTGTGGCTTATATCTGACCAGAAGTATGCATGTGAACATGGTAAAGATTTGTGTGTTTGGAGCTTGGCAATGCAAGTTTCAAACTGCAGACTTTGGCCATGTTGCTAGAGTTGATGTTTGGACCGAACTGCTTAAGTTGATTTGTAGCTCGACGCGGTTTTGAGTCTCAAGCCGAAACCTGTTATGAGCAAATTGGTTTATTATCTGTCCTTCATTAACCTGATAGCTATGCTAATGCCATGTGGTGATTTGTGTTGAGGGGATTAAGCATTCTTGTGTGTTGTGTGCGTGCAGGATCCAAAAGAAGGGCACTGGTGGATGCAGTTTGGAAACGACTATGTGTTAGGGTATTGGCCATCTTTTCTGTTCTCATACTTAGCAGACAGTGCCTCCATGATTGAGTGGGGAGGTGAGGTGGTGAACACAGAAGCAGATGGGCAGCACACCTCGACTCAAATGGGGAGTGGGCGTTTCCCCGAGGAAGGGTTTGGGAAGTCGAGCTACTTCAGGAACATTCAAGTTGTGGATGATTCCAACAATCTCAAGGCTCCCAAGGGACTTGGCACCTTCACTGAGCAGTCCAACTGCTATGATGTTCAAACTGGCAGCAATGGCGACTGGGGTCATTACTTTTACTATGGAGGCCCTGGTAGAAACGCCAAGTGCCAGTGACACCCAAATGAAACACCCCTTTCTCATCGTATACTTCTGTTGTGTTCTGTTCCTTCCCTATGTATAATTCACCATCATCCCTCTTCTTTCCTTAGTGTACATCTGAGGTCGAGTCTGAGCAGTAGTGGCAAGTTTTGGCTCATTGTTTTCTTTTGTTTTTATAGTCATGGAAAAAGATTCTCCAGACAAACCAAGTGGGTTTGGGGAACTTTGTGGCCAGTGTTTCTCAAAACTGGGAAAGAAACAGGAGGCCTTTTGTTTTCTTTCTTTCTTTGTGTATTCTATTGGTTTATGGTACTACTTCTCGTCTACTCCCTTCTTTGGAGGGGCTCGTTTAAATGGAATGAAATCCCCTCCTCTCTCTCTGTTGCTGCTTCTTTTGATAGATACTGTCAGTAGTCTGTCACGGCCTTGTATTATGATTGTGATCATGATGAAGGCTGGCTGATAAAAGGAGAACTTTTCAACCACTGCTGTCTGTTGAGTTATTATTGTTATGATTGTAAGCTATAGCTAGCTAGTAACTGTGTGTTTTTGGGTGCACGCACAGTTTGTAATTGTGAGAGGGCAAGACAGGGTTTATTTCACCATCCTGTCTTGAGTAATGAGGATCATCATGATAGCAAATAGTTATCAGCTGCATGTCGAGAACAGCTAGCTAGCTGGTGTTGACAAGAAAAGAAAGATTCATTCATTTGAGGTAATCATCATCTTCCAAATTAATGGAAATTGATGTGTACCAAGGTTGTCAACCCGCGGGTTGACCCGGACCCGGTCGAGCTAGTGGGTCAAGGGTTAATGGGTCAACCGTTTTAGCCCGGTTTGGCCCGGAAATATAGAAAGAGTCATTATATTGCACTTATCCTCATAAATTATATCAAATCTTATCTAACATATGAGTTATAACATATAATATTACACCAAAATAACATATCGTACTTAGATCCAACATATAGTGAAAATTCACACACACTTATATAACATAAATATTCAAATGTTGAACTTAGTATTCCAAAGATTGAGTTAGGCGAAAAGGAAAATTTGAAAATAGGCGTATTTCGCAAACTATAGAAAAAATGACACAATTTGACCTCCAACCCGGTACCTAATAGCGGTCGGCCCGGCCGGTGCGTGCGGCCCGTTTTTCTCACCGAGTCAGGGTCAAATTGGGTCGACCCGTGGGTCAACCCGCGGGTTGACAACCTTGATGTGTACTGATATGTTCATCCTAAATAAGCAATGCATAGCACTACCTAGGGGTTGAAATTGGGGGAAATTTTCCAAAAATACCACAATTTTTTTTTTCAAAAATACCACTAATTTTTTAAAAATTTCAAAAATACCAAATGAAATCTTGTGTTTGGTATGTCATATTTCATTGCAAAATGAATTATCGTGTAGATTCATTGTCAAATGAAATCTTGTGTTTGGTATGTCATATTCAAATCTTTAGAAATAAAATGAATTGTGGGTAAGTTTAATTTATCAACCCGAGATCTAGATCTACCACCTACTCCGTGAACTTCTATTATCTAGTGGGACTAAGTGAGTGAAAGTGAATTCAAACTAAACAGAAAGAAAATAGTAAATTGTTCGAAGTTCTTAAGAAAGGGAAGAGTCACTCGGGATTGAGTCCCCATAGCTCCTTAGTTAGGTCCAAGTTGTAATTTCCATTGGTTGATTTACTGTTGATTAAACTGCGGAAGTTCCGACAGTAGATTGGAATCTCTTAAGCTGACCAAGCCCTCTTAGACAGACTAACCGATAGATGACTAGTCTTCACCGAGATAGAATGCTAAGGCAATTAACACATAACTTCACTATTGGAAACAAATTCCAGTACAAAGCAGTGAATTGATTGACTCTCGTACAATCAATTCACTCCTATCGATTGAAGAAGCTCTAACAACATAATCAAATTCTATCTATCTCAGGTTGCAGCAGAAATCAAAAGAAGTTGATCAGGATTCAATTGACTCAATAAACACACTTCAATCGATTAAAACCAATCAATATATCCATCCAAAAGTCATTACAACTCAAATCCCTAACACATTGAATAAGGGTTCTTCATACACAAGTGAGAGAAGGTTCTACTCCATAGCAAGAAAGAGAGAGAGAGAGAGAGAGAGAGAGAGAGAGAGGAAAGCCGAAATCAAAGCAGCCATACTCATAAAGATGGGAATAATATGCTTTGGGATGTCAATCTTCACTCTTGGGGATGCAATCTGGGCTTCAATGGTGAGAAATCCACTCCAAATAGCTCCTAGGGTTTGTTCTTTGCACTTTCTCTCTCTAGAACTCTGTTTTTTGCTCTCGAAATTCAATCCCTTCAAAATATGAGCTCCTCTTCGATAAAACCCGCACAGGTGCAAAAACACGCCCTCTAAGCCCAAAAACCCGGCCGTGTTTTAATCAGAAGAGGTCGTGTTTCGAAATGACGATTCTGTGAAGGGCAGAGGAAAAACATGGCCTCTGACACAAGGTCGTGTTTTTCAGCATAGAGGGTGTGTTTCTCAGCATCCCTATTGTCCGGTTTTCGCGACCGACCTTCTTTCATCTCCAAATGTCTTAAAACTCGATCTCAAGCCATATCTACGTTCTACGACCTGAAATATGACATAAGAACACAACCTAGCGTAAAATAGGCCAATGAACGATCAATCGCTATCTAAACGATCAAGAAATGAAGGGAAAAACATGTGCGAATGTGATGTTATCATTACACCCTGTCAGTCGATTAAAATATAGATATGATCTTCTCTTTGACCTAGATTAATTCTCCTTCTATTAGGTTTACCCTAATCCAGAAGTCCCTCTCCCTCCATCTTCTAGTAGTTGAGGTCCTTCTCCCTCCATCTATGAGTCTTTTATCGAATCTATGGGGATCTTTTTCTCAACATACACACGAAGCATACAATCATGCAATAGGCGTTCATTCTATCACATACCAAAGATATCATTCATAGAAAAATCAAAGATAATAAACATCAAAATCCATGCAATATCAATCAATCATTATCATACAACCAGGGTTCATCTTATCCAAACAACAAGGGAGGATTAGTTCATGGCTAATGAAAAAATGAACAAGGACATAAAGAAGAACTGATTTCCATCATGGATGACTTGATCGGATGCTCCAATGTGACTCCTTTCGGGTAGAATGGATGGGGAACCTCCTCTCCTGCTCTCTAACTTATTTCTGATCGTTTTTAGGGTTTGGTGGCCGAACTCCCTTTTCAAGTAGGCTTAAGGGCGCTTAAATAGACAATGCGGAAGACTGTTTACGGCAGTGGGGTACCTAGACTTTGACGGGACTAGGGTCCTTAAAAATTTCGAGTTGATTGGGGTCTTCACCTGAGTTAATATTGGCGAAAGTATGGGGTCCTATATTTCAAGAATCATGCTAAAGCACATATATGTAAAGGGTTTTGGTGTCCAATTTTTTTGCTAAGTGGGGTCCTAGGAACCCTCTCTTCAAGGGCTCCCTCCGCCTCTGTTCACGGTGCAGTTACGGCCATGCGCCCACCCGTGAACTAAACCCTAGTCCGATACTTTAAATGGACAGACATCGCATTGGGGAAGCTTTTGTCTTCATTCACGGCTCGTGGAGTGTTCACACTCTAAGTCACGGCTGTGAGAGTATCCGTGAATTGCTCATCATGAAATTTTCTTGTGAAATTTTGAAGGCTAATTTTCACGGTTTGGGCCATGGGCGTGAGGCTAGCCGTGAGAACTTCCAGAAAGTCTTCCGAGATCATTCCAAACGTCCTAAAGCTCCCAATCTTTCTTACTTTTTGTATTTCTCGTCCAAATATCCTCGAAATCGTTCATCATGACATGAAACATACTAAAGCCACAAACCAAGCGTAAAACTGGCTAAAAAAATTGTGGAATGACTAAACAAAGAGGCTTAAAATGTATCTAAAAACATGTATAATTTACTAGTCATCATTTCGGAGATCGAAGCAGAGAAAAAAAAAACCTTAGAAGGGTGGGAACAACAGAAGACGAATACGATTTTAGTCAGGGAAACTCTGACACCATGTTGGGAGAGAATCAATCCATTTATTTATCAAAACGGTGAAATTTTATATAAACTAATTACAACAGTAGATATAAAATATACAAATAGTCTATTAATTTGATCCCATACTCTATCAAAAGGAGGGACAATATTGTATGGACTATATGGCCATCAGTCACTCGTTTGATTGCCGGAGAAGCTAGTAAAATGAAAGACCGTCTAGGAGCAAGTATTTCTTTGTCTTTGTCGTCGCTGATGCCACTGAGTTTGTCCATGAACGGCGATGAAGTTGTGTTGCATCTGAATGATGGTGGACTTGTTTAGCATGACATTAATAAAGTAAGGTCTAGTTAGATAATGCAGGGTATGGGAGCTTGTTGCAGATTCCTCCCTGCGATGCCATTACTTGCTTCAGTAGTCTAGCTCGCCGAGACGGTAACTACCTAGCCAGTAGCTGAAGAGGAAGACGGGAGATGAAGATTCCGAGTGTTGATTGTTAATATACTTTCGATACTAATGTGCGACCTCAAAGCTGCATGCTTTCTTCTTTATGTTCGAGGGATGTGACACCATTTTGAACATTGATCTAATGGCGACTAAGGCTATTTGCTACGATAAGTGATTTATGTGCCACGATAGCTCTGTAGCAGCACATAATTGTGTGTTGTCAAGACTTTGGCGGCAGATGTTAGCGACAAATATTATCGGCCTCTAGTTTACAAATTCCTACATATAATTTTGTTGCCAATTTCACTTTTGAATTACCATTTTATCGTCACCTTTTCTCACTTTAGTAGCACAAATATTTGCCACTATTGTTACATTTAGTGACAAATTAATCTATAGTAACAAACAATGTGCTAACTTTTGTCACTAATTTTACTTTTACATAATTATTCCTTTTATTTCTAGAGGCAGATTAATTGCATGTAATTAGCAAACACATTCTCTTGAGGAGATAAAATCAAATTCTGTAAGGGTGCGTTTGGATACAAGGATTTGGATTTGGTATTTGTGATTTGGATTTTCAAATACCAAATCATGTGTTTGGATATTAATTACATTTGGTATTTGATTTGTGTCAAATTCATGGGGTGATTTCCAAATACATGTCTAGTGTATTTTTTGTCAACTTCAAATACATTTCAACAACTAGTGATTTGAAATACCTCCTAACAAAAGAATGGACCTATTTGTAAAATATGAAAAGTTTAGGTACTATAGTGTGAGGCAAAACTTATAAAGGTACCAAAATGTAATTTTACCATCAAAATTTCAGGACCTTTTTGTAAAATTTTAAAAGTTTAGGTACTAAATTGTAAGAAAAAATAATTTTGGGTACCAAACTGTAATTTACCAACATTTGTAGTAAGTGACCAGAAAATTAAAAATTGAAATTGAAAATCATAAATACAAAAATACAAAAATACAAACAAATTACAAATGAGTATCCAAACAATGAATTTGAATTACATGTATTTCAAATGCTAATACTTCAAATACATCCATTTCAAATGCTAGTATTTCAAATACCTTACATTTAAAATACACTTATCCAAACGCACCCTAAAATGTATTAAAGAAAGTACAAAAATATACAAACATCCTTTCACTTTATTTTAATTTAACATTGATACAAAAAAAAATGACTCGTACCAAAAGAAACAAATAACATAATTCCAAAACAAGGAGAAATTCAAAGGATAAAAGTGCACTACTGCACTTTGTCCTTTGAATTACAATTTCGAATTAGCTTGGAGTCTTGAAAACTCATTATGTTGATAGTTGATGAGATTCCTCCGACAACCCGGATTCTTCAGTACAAACCTGATATCATCTTATGCCTTTTGTCTCATTTGTGAGATCACATATATATATTCTTAATATTGTATCAATTCTGCGGTATAATATAAAGATCATTAATCCCCTCGGCGGTATATACCTGCAAATAAGTCTATGAAGGATGATCATCGCCGTAATTAGCTTTTGAATCAGGCAAACCACAAGTGAGATGGAACCCTTCAAGAAACTACATTGTCACCTCAACTCATTAAACATAATCTCCAGAAAAAGCATAAACCAATGAAAGAATGAACGCCTAAAAAAGAAGGATCGGATGATCATCGCCGTAACAGATTTCTACCACATGCTGATGATGGCAAAGCCTAGTGGAGTCTAGTCAGATCCTATCGCTAACGGACCTTCTATCAACGATGTTGCCGTAGCTGAAGACCTTCAGGAGGATCCCGCCAGTAGTAACCGAGGCCAGGCCGCCGAAGAATCCTAGGTACTCGGTATTGGCGGAACTTGAAATCCATTTTTTCTCGGGGGAAAAGGAAGGAGAATAGGGGAAACCCGGAATAGGTTAGGGTGGTTACTCAATTTTGAGTAATCACGGTGGCTACCAACATCTATACCATTCATTATCTTTATTTTATTATAATTTTAAATTAATGATTAGGATTAGCAAAGGGTAATTTAGGAAATGAAAAACATACCACACCTGATTACTGTATATATTTTACTCAAACCCTAATACCTAGCCGTCGTCTCCTCCCTCCTCTCCCTGTCGCTCCCGCTCTCGATCAACCTCCGCCTCGTCGGCTCTGCCTTCCCGGCCGACTCCGAGGCCATCCTCTCTTCCTTCTTCTCCTCCACCCACACCTCCGACCACTTCCACGTCATAACCCCCGATCCCGTCCCACCTCACAGCGGTTCCCACCACCTCGCCGTCCGCCACACCCCTCACCTCGACGTCTCGCACTCCCCGCCTTCCCTCGCTTCCCGACTCTCCGACGCCATCAAATCCGGCTGCCAATCCTTCCGTAGTATGTACTTCCCGCTTTGGACGGTTCTGTTCTCGGCGGCGTTTATGGGGCTCTTTGGCTATGGGCTTCAGTGGCTTGTGATTCGGAACGTCATCTCCCTGCCTTACATTCTGGTATGTTGTACGCATTTTCCTCTTCTCCCTTTCTCTCTCGATTTTCCCCTCTTTCCGATTTGGGGTGTTTTCTTGATTTCAATTTTCCCGGCTGCCAAACAATAATCGGGCCGGTGGGAAGGATTGTTTGGTTAACGCCAAGGTGATTCAATTTTCCCGGCTGCCAATCCTTCCGTAGTGATTTTTTTTAAATGGTAGTCATTTTTCCCCGTAGTGGTAGTGTTATGGTCGTATTGGTATTGTTTTTGTCGCATTGGTATTATTTTTGTCGCATTGGTATTGATTTTGTCGCATTGGTATTGATTTTGTTACATTGGCATTGATTTTGTCGCATTGGTAGTGATTAAATCTGCAATGGTATTGATGTTTTCTGAAATGATAGTGTTTTTATTTCTTGAATGGTATCGATGTTTTGTACAATGGTAGTATTTTTTTAATGTATTGGTATTGTTTTATTGTTTTGTTGTTGCAGCAACGAAATCAAGGAAAGATTGAGAAAAAGAAGGAAGAGAGATCTGGCTGAAAAATTGTGGAAGTGGCTGAAAAATTGTGGAAGTGAGAGAGAGAAAAATTGTATTTAATATATTTATGTAATCTCCTAAAATGTAATTTATTAAAATAGATCATTAATAAATTTTTTATTATACCCAATTTGCCCTTAGTAACCACGGTGAATAGTAATCACCGTAACCTGTCCCGGGGAAACCCCATTATTTTAGTCTGTAAAAATATTTATATAGTAGCAAATAATTTTCTGCTTCCCAAATTTAAAAATATAAATATAATAATGAAATTCGCTTGTTATTAAATGAGAGGGCAAAACTTTACAAGACACTTCTAACAAATGTGCTGCTATATGTGATGTCTCAATTATATTAAAAACTAAATACAATACAAAATAGTTTTAGAAGCAAATAATTTCCTTTTTAGAGACAAAAAAATATATTAGTAGCGTATCACACATTTTAGGAGGCAATTATTTTATGTGTCGCAAATTTTTGTCGCTAAATGTCATCGTTTTAAGAATGTTGTTCATATGAACAATCAAACATTATGCAAATGCAGGAAAAATAAAACATGCAAAGGAGACAAAATTTTGATAAGAAACTGAAACGAGGGTGTTTCACATATTCATATGTCCCAAAAGAGTAAAACAAGAAACGTTCTTTCTCTAGGTATATGTCAACCGATTAAAGAAATCAAAGCTAAATTTAACTGAACAGAGGGGAAAATACATATATGTGACTTTTTTTTTTTTCTTCTCTCAATCGGATTTCTTCTCCGGCTGTTGCGATTTTGCAGCAGCAGAACGCTTATCCTCGGCCATCTTGGAGTGCATCTCTTCGCCGTTGTCCCTGTCATTGAAGTACTTCTCGAATGCTCGAGGCAGAAACCTCGGGATCAGAAAGCAGAGCAGGTTGATTGAGAAGTATGACAGATTGGCTGCCGCTAAGCCCTTCCCAAACCAATACCAACCCACCTCCTGCAAAAAATATTGTTGTAAGCAACAAATGAATTACAGGTGGGGAATTCTGTTTTCAGTACAAGAAACAGCGACTACATACCGCGATGTCGGCGTTGGGCGCCAGAGTCTTCTGGAACCAGACATCCTGCGTCCAGTCCAGGATCACAAACACCCTCCTCACCGTGTACATCAGGGGCACCAGGGCCCTGATGGGCGGCGAGAAGAGGGATAGCCCGCTCACCAGATTCTCGGTGAGAATCTGGCAAGAGAGCAGGAACAGGTGCGGGGTGGCGGACCGGACCGCGCTGTTGTCTCCCCTGGCGAACCCACCGAGAACGTAAGCCAGGGGCAGGAACAGCCCGACCGCGGTCCCCAGGATGACGTAGAGGCGAAACAGCCGGCTCCCCTGAAAGATCTCGGATGTGGCTCCTCCTCGACCGCGAGGGGAAGGGAAGACGAGGCGGGAGAGGACGATTAGGTAGGCGGAGATGAAGAGCGGGAAGACTAGGTCCAGGACGGGGACAAGGCCGCTGAGGGAGAAGACCATGATGAAGGCTACCAATTGGAGCTCGATCACTCGGAGAGATCCCATCAACCCTCCCATCATCGTTTGCTGTTGCAGCTGAGACGGTGGTGGTTGTTTCGGACCGGATTTTGTGGATGAAGTTGACTCGCCTGCCGTGGCGGTAGGTTGATCTGGTCTTGCCCCCACGGCCAGAGATACCCCAGACATCTTTTTTTCTACACTGCAAAATAGACATCCGGAAATCAGCTAAACAATTAGGCAAATTGAGGAAAGGTTAATGGATCTGCAGAAAAAGAAAAAAGGACCTGTTTTGTTTGTCTCCGAAGAGGCAAATTATTTGAATGCGCCGGGAAATCCTGATGTGGCGCGGATTCGTTTTGCAGGTGTGAGTGATGATGTTGGAAGAAAGAACTCTTTTTTTTGTTTGTTTTCGCCGGCGACGGAGTGGGAGACCGATCGGCGATTTGTTTACTCAGACGTGAGATTCGGGAATTGTGGGAAGAATGTGAAATCGGATGATGTTTGTGTTTGGTGTTTTGTCCGGAGAGCGCAAAGTTCGGTGGTTGTTACCTGTCGGATGAGTGAAGATCCTGGAAATTCTGCCACCTAGCTTCTGACCCGTGCTAGGAGGCTGCTCCACCGCTCTCTACGTGGCGTCCTGGTTTTTGTGATGTATACAATTGGTTCCCCCTGACCCTGAGTTTATCTGGCCAGCTAGCGTTTTTTCTTTTTCTTTTTTCAAAGATGGTCAGCTAGCGTTTTCCCCCCTCACTAGAGGATTGGGCTAATATTGGTCTTTGGAGCTGGGTTTGGGCCTGTGTTCACGTTAGCTAAAAAGCCCATTTTGAGCCGAGTCCATACGCTATGGAACAGCTGCAAAACCCATTTGCAAAAAAGAAGAGGAAGTAACGGCATTTGTGAATAAATAATTGCCTTCAATGAACAAAAACGCAGTTACTAGAAGAAAGTAAATGGACAAATTCACTGCGACTTACATCAGTTGGTGGTAGGAGTTACCGAATCGTAACTTACATCATAAAAACAAAGTAATGAACTCCCTCTAAATAGTATTCACGGATGGGTGAATATGGTACTTAACGCAGTGGAGGATTAAAATGAATTCATTTAAGAATTGTTGAATAAAACCGTAAAAGAAAGATAAAGACCAGAACTAAAACAATGCATGACATGCTTCATCTGATTTTATCAGACAAATAAACAAGCCATTCTCCACCATTAATATCCATACTTGCAAAAGAGAAAATCATATGGTACATTTTCATATATGATTTAGGGGACTTTTCAGTTTCCAGTTTCCAGTAATGAGAAGTGGGAAATTGAAGGGAGCAACAAAATTGGAGAATGACCATTCCCATACTCGTGGAATTATATTATTGCTCTTCTACTCCAAAGGGTTTCCCAACAACGACCTTTGGTGCACAATTAGCATTGAAATCCATGTAATTTATTATTGTCTTAAGACCAATAACCGCCACACTTTATCTCTTAACCCTCCCCAAACCTCAAATTATCAATCCCAGCCCAAAAACTTCAAGAAGCCATGGCAAAGGTATCCATTGTCTCAACATCCCATACTCTCTCTCTCTCTCTCTCTCTCTCTCCAAAAATACTTCATTTTTTCCGTAGTAACATGAGTTTGTTGTTTCAGAAAAATGGGGGAGAAGTCATCTTCAAAGCTCTTATGCACTGCCAAGGATGCGCCACCAAAGTTTACGATTGTCTGTTTGAATTCGGAGGTAAATTAAACTCAATCACTGTCTTCTTAATATAACCACGCATGTTTTTAGAATTTAGAACTCCAACGAATTCTATTCTTTTGTTCAAGGGGTGGAAGATGTTTTGATGGAGGTCGAAAATGATATAGTGGTGGCAAAGGGGAATAACTTGGATCCCTTGAAGTTGTTGGCTAGATTGCAAAAGAAGTACAGTAAGAACGTGGAGTTGATTTCCCCTATACCAAAACCACAGCCTCCAATTCAAGAAAAGAAGGAGACACCAAAGCCACAGGAGGTCCGTATTTCAGTTTATTTACCTTCTGACTAGATTAAATTTACTTCACTCTGTTGTAGGATTCAGTTTTGTTAAGTAGAATAATGAAGTAAACGCACGTTGCTAGAGTAAAATAAAGCCAGTTTAACCAGATCACAAGTTTGCTGAAACTAGTTTTGGGTGTAATAATATATAAACTACATTTTATATATATATATGAATAGGGTCTTTCTAAAATTCTCATGAGATTCCGTTTAGTTTGTAAATATTAATAATACACTTAAATTCAATGTGTTAATGTATGTAGAATAACTTCTTACTATAGAACTTAGTTCCGGAATGTAGAATTTTGTAGTTATGCGCGTTTTATCAAAGGATGATCATGTTTATAAATATTGTAAAACTAACATCATTTATTATCTAGCCAAAACTCAAAACATTGATCCTCAAAGTACTGATGCACTGTGAAGGATGTGCTCGAGATATAGAGAAAATCGTGGGGAGGATGCAAGGTAAGAATTTTCCATTGTTTGCACCTTCTTTTCAATATCAACCGCCCCCGAATTGATATTTTCCCTTGCTTGTAATTTAGGTGTGGTTAGTGTCCAAGCAGACATGAATGGTTCGACGGTAGTAGTGATCGGATTCTTCGACCCACCAACTTTGATCGAGAAGGTGAGAAGGCAATTGGGGAATAAACACGTCGAGGTATTGAAGCAACAGAAGGATGTGGAATGTAAGGGTAAAAGCAAAGACCAACCACCGAGGAAAGAGAAAGAAGCACAACAACCTGCCTATGTATGCTTTTGCACTCCTCCCGAGCCTTTTCGTCCCCTCAGCGTTCATCCCTGCCAAGTGTTTAGTGACGAGAATGTCTTTGCTTGTACGATCATGTGATGTGCAGGTGCAATGCAACCCTATCTTGGTGAAACTAATAGATAGGTAAAAACTAGTGGTATTGTCATTAGGCCGTTGCTAACATGAGTTACGTAGCTATTAGGCGGGATTAGCGCATGGGCCGAGTTGGATTACTATTCTAATTATGAGTCTTTCTTTCAGTAGGTGGTCGAGTCGGCCCGGATGAGTAGAGAATTTCGAATGTAGCTATGTTTATGTGGTAGAGTTGTGTATACTATATAAACTATAATTACAACATTAGTTTGCAATGAATCCGTTACTACCAACTTCCGAAAGGTGAGTTATTACGAACTAGCTAGTCCACGAATCCCTTAGGATGCCCACAACACAACTAACTAAAAGAGAGAGTTGTGGTGGGTTGGGCTCCCTTGTCTTGTCCACCTCCACCAATTTTGATCATTCGTATATGGATCTTTCCAAATCCTATATTGTGGCTTTCTGGCTCATTCCCACTTTGATTTGCTGTTTGGAGGTCCCATCCAAATGAAGGCACCACATTTCCCACGTTCATACTAATGTTCTCATAATTAATAAAACTTTGACCACCTTTCGGTACACCAATACTTTTGTGATAGTGTGGATCGGCTCGACGGCGGAGAGGGCGCACGGTTTAGGAGCCCTTTTTGCACTACTTGTCCACAACTATGGAAGAAGTCAACTGAAAACTGCATATTTGAAAATCTTTGATATTTCAACGTTCTATTGAGTTTTACTTATGATATTTCTAACTATAATATTTTTAGGTTCGAATTCTACCATATTGGGCCAGACTTCACCACAGCCCATGCAATCCAAGCGACCACCCTCGGCCCATGCCGTCCACGTAGAGGACGCGGCTACAGCAGAGGAGAATCAGCATATTCCTTCTCCTTTACGTAAATGTAGCCCCATGTATGCCCTAGGTGACTCTGATGTATTAGGGTATATAAATCAATGTATGGCCTTCGGCCAAACCATGGAATAAGAGATCAAAACTTCTACAGTGGATGTAAGCCTCACTGACGTGAGGAAGAACCACTATAAATCGTGTGTCTTCTTGCCCTTTCTTTACAATTTCACATGGTATCAGAGCAGTAAGTTCCAGTCGTCACCGATCGTCTAACCGCCATGGGTTCTGGCGATGAAGATTTCAAGAAAAAAGGAGTCTCTTCCAGCCGAACCGATGATGAGCTTCCGTCGGTCTTCCAGCTGCACAACTCCGATAGCCCCGGCAACATGCTCGTGGGCGAGATATTGAACGCATCTAATTACGGGGAATGGTCTCTGGACATGAAAGATGCGTTGATTGCGAAGGATAAATATTGCTTCGTAGATGGAATTCTACCCAAGCCGAAGGATCCTAGAGAGCTCGGCGCCTGGACGCGTTGTGAAGCGATGGTTAAAGGGTGGTTAAAAACATCAATGGATAAGGAGATTCGAGGGAGTATTCGCTTTGCTGAGCACGCGAGCGAGATATGGACGGATCTCCGAGAGCGCTTTGGCCAAGGGAGCGCGTCTCCCGCCTATGAATTGCGGCGGTTGATCAGCCTCCTCCAACAAGAAAAACACACTATTTCAGCATTCTACACAAGTTTGAGGTCCTTTTGGGAGGAAGCTGCTGCAATTACCCCACCGCCGATCTGCACTTGCGGTCAATGCACATGCGACGTCTCCAGGAGGGTGCGAGCCCAGCAAGAAAACGCTAGGCTTTTTGACTTCTTAATGGGCTTGGACGATGCTTTTGGGCCAGTACGTACCCAAATCCTCGCCATGCGTCCCGTACCTACCCTCGTTGAAGCGTTCCGCGTGGTTCTCAATGAGGAGCAACAAAAGAGCATTGCTCAAAATCGGAAGGCAGTCCCTGAAGCAGCTGCATTCGCGGTGAAAGGTGATCCGGGTAGAGGGCAGCGTGGAGCTAGCGACCAAAGCGGTACGGGGGGGCAGCGTAGCGCGGGTGAGCAGCGAGAACGACCGCGCTGCACACACTGTCATCGCCTTGGACATCAAAGGGATGCATGCTATGAACTGGTCGGGTACCCCCCTGGGTACTTCACAAGAGAGCGCCAAGGAGATAGGCCGCAAAGAAGGCGTAACCGCGACTCGGGAGAAAATTCCCAGCGAGAACGCGAGCCCAAAGCCTCACAAGTTGAGGTGGAAGCAAGCCCCGTTGCTGGATTTACTGATGCACAGCTCGATCAACTAAAACAGTATTTCGGCTACACAGGAAAGGCAGCAGAGGATCCCGCAGCTCACATGGCAGGTATGATCTCTTATGATTCAGAATGGTTACTTGATTCTGGATGCAAT